CTTTAAAAATTATAAGCATATGAAGATAAGAAACATTTCTGTAATAACTATTAAGTAATTTTTACGTTGCGTAAGCTATTTTCTAAAATAGTAGTCTTTGATGAATAAAACTTTGTAGAATTATAAAATGTATCATACTCTTTAAACCCTACCTAATTTTAATTTGCTATATCTTTTTTATTTCAAAATATTTGATAAATATTAAAAAAAAAATTTAAAAAATTTAAAAATGTAATTTTTATATTTTTTAAATTTATAATTTATTATTCTGTTTAAATAAAAATGGCTACAGTGTAATAAGGATACATTTAACTTTATAAATCAACTTATTTCTAGTAATTAGAACTACTAATTTTTAAAAAGTCATGCTCAACGTAAAAATTAATATTTCTTTCAGAAATGTTTATTTTCATATGCTTATAATTTTTAAAATCATGATTTTAAACATTCTACACTTTTTTTAAGACTCATTCCTTTATAAATAATGTGTAAAATATTTGAATTACTTAATTTTAACTTCAAAGAATTATATCTGAAAAGAATTATATTTGAAAATTGTTTATATTTTCTGCCCTAAGACAAAGTTAACATACCCCGTGAAGGAAACAAGTAATATAAAAAAAAAAATTTAAGTCAATTCTTACTTAGATCAACAAAGAAAAATTTTATTTTAGCTACTTTTTATTAAATAGTTACAATTAATATAAATATTATATACATATGACAGAATCACAACATTAAATGGTAAATAATTTTTATTCATTATCATTAAAGTATCGTATTGTTATCCAAAACAATCGTGCATATAAAATTTCAGTTCAACTAAATGCTTTAAAACGTGAGAATAAAAACACCTTTTCATGTTTTGACACAAGTCGCCAAAAGGGTCGCTAAGTCACCAAAAATGATGCCAACGTGACTGTATTTGTAATTCTTTGAATAATTAGCTTTAATTAATTAATTTTTATTAATTATAATTAAATTACTGTATTGTCATTCAAAATAATCCTGTATATAAAATTTCAGCTCAATTGAGCGCTTTAAAATGTATTTTATTAACGATTGAAAATTCCACCAAGATAAATAAATAAATAGATAGAGAGTGTAAGCTAATAGTAGAAATTGAAAAATTAAATGTTATTTAGGAAATTGCTTATCCCACATAAATGGAAAAAGTCAATTGAAATAGTATTTCATAAAATTACCTACATTTATTCAAGAAACTTTAAAAGCTTTACTAATTGGTTTTAGAGAAATAACTTGCCTTTTTGAAATTTTCAAAAGTGCTCAAATGCTTTAAATGTTCGGTCTTTTTCGAAACAAAAATTTAAAAAGTGAAACTTAGAACCTGATAGAATTTAATTAAATTAATTTCACAAAATAATTTTTCAGTCTCTTTTATTTTAGAATAACCGTATCTCATAAACCTGTAATAATAGATCATTATTTTCAATTGTTTCGATTTTTTGGTGTGAAAAAACCCTATTACTTTTCATCAAGAGTCTTCGGTAGAATATAATTCAGACCTTGAAAAACTCCAACTGTTAATTTTCCCCTAGTCAAATTGAGTGATGCGGGTTATATTCGTATTATTATAATAATACGAAACATATATTATTAACGGGATTTTTTTCAACCATTGTTATTTGATTCAAATAGATTGGATTTCTACACAATTACTCACTAGTCTTTTGCTTATTCCAGAGTTATTCATTGGATTATTCCCGATTCAAAGAAGGGTTTGTAGAAGACATTTACAAAATTGAGTGACGTTACTATAAAATAAGAGAAAAGAATTACTTTCAGCAATACGCTGGAATGATAGTTTTTTAGACATTTAAGGAAAATATTTTTTAAAGTAAGGCACATATTTTTGCTAATAATTATAAAACTTATTTTATTTCTAATGGGCTGTAGATTGTTGTTTTACCGTTGCAGACTTAGCACATTCCCCGGAAGCTGGTATCTCTTTTTAGTGCGACACCCCATAGGCGGATACCAATCACAGCAGGCGTTAGGCGGATTCAAATCACAAATTTCTTAATTATAAAGCTAATAATAATTAATAATACTATTATTAATGCAATCTCTACGTTTTTGTATATTTCTGTAGAATCAATTGCATTTTCTATCTACGAATTTCTTTTGATTCTTTACATCAGCATTTCTCAAACTGTGGGGCCCCTAAGAAGGCATCATAGCCCTACAAGGGGGGAAAAGATTTAAAAATGAAAGATTTAAAAAAATTAGAAATTTACTGAAATGAAGCAAAACAAAATTCATTCTGGCATGATAAAAATAAAACATACATTTACACTGATATAACACACTTATAAATGCATTAGTACTGCCCAATGTATTTGAGAACTAATTTATCAATTCTATGTTAAGAACAAGATTAATAACTACTAGTGACTCCAATGAGTTTGTCATATACAAAATTATATGCAAAATTTAATTCTTATCTTGATAATTTGTAAGGTTTATAATTAAAATAGTATTACAGTTTTACCGTCAAAGTACATTATTATTAAATTCGATACATCATTATTGTATGGATTGATTGATTATTAACGTCGCACTGCTCAGCTACACGAAGGCTTTTGGTGACGCACCACGTAATTTTGAACCATGGTCAAGTGACAACAGAGGGGAGAAATTTTAATAAAAAAAAACTCCAATAATTATTTCAAATGGTTGTAACTCTGAAAATAATGTGAACTTTTCAAAAGTCATAGTTGAGCCTTTGTACAGAGGTCTGAGCTATATACAGGCAAAATATTATCATAATAGAAGCATTTTTCACAAAAGGAGAACATTTTGAAAAAATATTATTCTAAGTTAATTTTTTGCCGAAATATTGTATTTAAATAAATTTTTTTTTGCCAAAATGTCCTTAAACCAATTTTATACATGTATTCTAATCTAAGTGACACTGAATATCATGAAAGTTATCCATTTATGCGCCTTTTCAAAATACGGTTCCGAATGTAGTCGGATACCTTAAATTTATCAAGCGTTTGTTCTTAATAATCCATGAACTTTTCACAAATCAAAGCCTCATCAATTTTATCCAACACCTGTTTATTATGCAAGTGCAATTGAAACAAGTTGCAAAACAGGCAACCACATAAGTATAAACTTGATCGGAAATGAACTCGCGAACTATAGAATTATCTTTCGCAAGTCCTATGTTACAAATTAGTTGCAAAAAAAGTGTTATAACATATTCATAATAAATTACTTATTTGAATGTGTATATGTTATATTACTTATTTTGTCATAGCTATCAAATTATAAGCTTACATAAAATTATTCTGCTAAAAGATAATTCAGCACACACACACAAATATTTTATTCTCAAAGACGATGCGACGACGAGTTCATTGCCAAACTCAATGCCCTCTTAAGTAGATAAAAACCAAAAACTTATTCCAATTACACTGAAAATCGTTTAACACTGAACTGAGGGTACTGAAATATTTTTTCTTGTTAAAAGAATTTTGTGTTAAAAGATAGTACAAAAAAAAAAACAGCATATTTTCAACAAAATTTTTATTAGAGTGCATCTTATTTACATAGATATGTATATGCGCAGGTATTTAATAAAAATCTGACAAAAACAGAAAACAAAAAGAAACAACTGTATTAACACATCAAGTGTCACCCACTACAAATTAAAAAAATGTATTTGAACTTGAATGGATGAATAGGAAATCTCAACCTATATAGAAAGCTATCATTTCAGCCAATATAGATATGTATATGCGCAGATAGCATAGATGCATAGATATGTATATGCAAAAACTTTCGTTTTGTCCCTGTAGCGCAATGGATAGCGCTTTGGACTTCTAACGCAAAGGTCGTGGGTTCGAATCCCACCTGGGATGGCCTAATTTCTGAGAATAAGATTTCTCTTTTTACAATAGTATTTTATTATAAAAAATGAAACAAAAACATTCGCAAGATCTGAATGAAATTGAATGCAAAATTTTCAAGTTTTTTGAAAAGCAAAACATTTATTGAGTTTTTGGAAACTAATCTGATATTTTTCTTTGAATTGTCCTTTTTTTCTAATCAAATCGTCAACAAATTGCTCGATGTCCATTTTGTTATTCATTTCACCATTGGAATGTGCGTCTAAAGAGTTGCACAAATTTTTCATGATGTTCCTTATTTCGGATGACATGGGAACAAGGAGCTGCATTATTCATTTCATTTTCGTCTTTAGAATATGTATCAATGATACTTTTTGAGCTTTGAACAAACTCTTAAAATGACTTTGTCTGCCATAATTGGGGTTATATACACATTATCATCATCTACTTCAACGAATTCTTCCGATGATATAGTAGGACAGTTCAATAATACAGAAAAATAATGTGAAATCACCTCTCTTTCTTAATCCTCTGGTATTTTCCGTATTTTGTTTATTCCCCAAAGTAAAATCTTTTCGTGGTAAGCGATTTCCATTTCGTTTTAAGAGGAAAAAACGCATGAAAATACATAGTAGTCTGTTGAAAACGTTATATATTATTTTGTGTTCACCGATATTTTGTCAAAAGCGATTTCGCATTAAACGTATTTCACTGTATTTCGATTTAAATAAGAAGAAACATTCGATAACAATTACTTCGAAGTTAAAAATATAATTTTTTTTTCTTTTTCAAATATAATTCTGACTACAAATTCACAAAAGCTTAAACTTATTTTATTAGGATTTTTTTAAACTTTTTCTCAATTCCTCTCTACTATTAGTTCACTCTTTCCTTATATATATATATATTTATATCTTGTTCACATTTTCAATCGTTAATAAAATATTTTCTATTCATCCATTTAAGCTCAAATACATTTTTTAAACTTGTAGTGGATGAAACTTGATGTTAATGCAGTTTTTTCAAATATTAATACATTTATTAATTTAAAAAATGAATAAATAGTAACAAACAAAAAATAATAGTCCAACAGCCTATACAGAAACGAAAAGCATTCGTTTTGTCCCTGTAGCGCATTGGAAGCGCTTTGCACTTATAATGCAAAGGTCGTGGATTCGAATCCCACCTGGGATGGCCTAATTTTTGAGAATAAGATTTCTTTTTTACTATACTATTTTATTATAATAATTACATTTAATTAACGTATAAACAATATCAAACAAAAAGAAATAGTCCAACACCCTATATAGAAAAGAAAATGGAAAATTGCAAGGAAAATCGCTTTCTATTTTGTCACTTAATATTGTGTTTCTGTCATATGTATACACGCATTTATGTTAATTGTAACGATTTAATAAAAAGTAACTAAAATATATTTTTTCTTTCTTTGTTGACCTAAGTAGGAATTGACTTAAAAAAAATATTTTTTATGTTACTCGTTTTCAAAATAAATTCAAGTGAGTGATATGAGTTAAACATAAACATTAATTTATGAATCCTAACCTAATTTGATTAAATCAAATAATCCAGTGCTTCTCAAACTTTCGATACTTGCGACCCAATTTTCAGTCATAATTTTCTTCGCCCCTCCCCCCTTCCTCTTCCAAACAAAAACAATATTTTGAATTCAACAATAATGATGTACTTCGAAGTAAATCTACACAATACGAATTTAATTACAAACCGTACAAACTACCAAGATAAGTTTATCAAGATATACATTTTTTATATAATTGTATATATGACAAGCCCCTGGAGCCACTGGTAATTGTTAAACTTGTTTTTAGCTTGGTATTGTTAAATTAATTACCAAATACAGTGTGGAGTACTGATACATTTATAAATGCGTATTTATTTTTTATTATGTCAGAATGTATTTTAATTTGCTTCCTTTCAATAAATTAATATTTTTAAAAAATGTTTTATTTTCGATGTTTTGATATGCTCGCTCCCCTCCCTCGATGGTTTTTTACGCGCCCCACAGTTTGAGAAACACTGAATAATCTATAGAAACCAGACATTTATATAAAACTAAGGTTTAGGTTTAAATAATTGGTTTGAACTCTCTCTGTGCTAGAAAGATACAACAAAAGTGGTCTTTAATTTGAGATACACCGGATAATAATTAACTTTGTAGAAGCAAGAAACAAATGCACGAGTACAAACCTCCAATCAATTCACAAGTTAACAATTCCTCTTAACCTGGTTTTGACGTATTTCTAGTTAAATCCATGTCAATTACAATAGCAATTAGTGGTATTTCCAATAAGCGACGAAATGCAATTATTCTACATCGCTCGTAACATTAAACTTCCTTGCAATGATTTCTCCTTTCAACTGTTTCTAATAACACCATTAATATAAAACTTGAAAATAAAGTTCACCTCATTTATTGGCATATTTGCATAAACAACTTCGAGAAATGAACTCATTGAATTCATTTCTTCTTTAAAAGAAGAAGAAAGGAATGAAACAAAATAAAATTTTATTAAACAGACAATAACAGTTATAAGAGCAAATCTTACAAAGTAAACCAATTGTAGATTTGAGTATTCGTTGAAAAGATAATAAGGAAATATTCAATTACAGTTATATAAAAACTCAACTCCTTTTTTTTACACGGTAGATGCGTTATTTAGAATACCGTGCAAAAAAATACTTGGGAAGTATGGTAAATTTGGGTATACGTTCTACAACTTTAAAACACCGCCCCACCCCCGCCGCCCCCTTAATATTTTCTCAAAAAAAACGTACAAAAAAGTAATAATTAAATTTTTGTTACATATTTAAAAAAACAAAAACAAAATTCATTATTATTACAAAAAAAAAATTTAAATTAGCGTACAATGAAAATTTAATCTATAAGTGCATAAAACATTAAAAATTCAAACTGAAATTACGAATAAAACTACTAACTAAAAACTACCATCGCTACTTAATAACAAACGTGCACGTTTGTTACGAACCGGATTAAAAACGTTATCAGTCAATGTGTCAGTTATGTCTAGCACATCTGTCGGTTTGGATTCAAATGAAGAATTTCGTTCGATAGCGATTCTCTGTTGATTTTTTTTGTTGTTACAAAGTCTGTTATTAGTGGCTTTTCTTTTTCTATTTGTTTCTCAAGTTGCTTACATAATTCTTGATATCCTGAAACACAAAACTTAAGATTGCGTTGAAATTTTAATGCACACTCTATGTCAGAATCATGAGTAAGAAAATGTTGTTGCATACTTGTAACAAATTTCAGGCTCTCGCAAATTAAATCAGCTTTACTCGGGTATTAACCATAATTTCAGAATACACAGATTAAGCAAGCCATGATGTAGACAAAATCACTCACACAAGTGGGGCGCAAGCCGATTGTCTTGTGTGTAACACTGTCAAAATGATAATTTAAAAAAAAAAAATTGGAGATTCATTCTAGAATAAAACATTTGCGAAAAAATGTATATTGGTGAACTGTGTTGCTTCACACACACACAAAATCGTTTAAAAAAAAGAATTGAGTGTAATTTATTTTGTAATTAGTTAACATCGTTAAAGTTGTACCAGAACAAAATATATTATTACAAAAATCTTCCTAACCGTAACAACCCATCATTTGTTAAAGAATAAACACATTTTTGTTTTTTATTATATCTAGCTTTCCTTATTCGTTCTTTACTCTTAGTATTGATTGAGTTTATATTTAAATAATGCTTTAAACTTTAAAGGAACTTGCAGCCTTGATTTCCTTCGGGGCAATTGAAGTACTGTACTTTTTATTCCAATTAATTTAATTGTCTCAGTCTTTGCAGTCTCTTAGAATAATTTCACATGATTTCATCTCATTTTCTTAAGTAATACAGAGACTTTCAAATTACGTCTTGAAATTCTGAAATTAAAATACTAAAAATGAAAATAAACTCTTGATTTTCTCTTTTTTTCTGGAACGGAATTAAGATTCTCTACATAATGTTTCAAGTAGTAATTCGGTTTGAAACAATTACTGTTCTTGTCTTTTGTCAATTAAATAGTCCCTCGTGCTTTTATCAGAACATCAGACGAGAGGGGGTGGGCAATTACGATTAGTCCCGGATTCACTCCCCATACCTAAGACATTCGCAACCTTAAACATTCTTGCCTTTTTTTCCTTTAGTTTTCCCTAATAGAACAATTGTCTTGAAGAAAGTTTTCTTTTTAGAGAATAGTGGTTTGTGTCCACCAATCACAACTTGTGTCTGTAGAAGAGCACGAATATTGCAACATTTTAATCAGTTAGAGAACTTAAGGAATATAGCATCGAATAGATCAAGATGGTGTAAGCTGACTGAAATAGCCTTGACTAGTATCCGGCTGTAGTGCTTGGAAAGAAGAGAACTTAATTTTTCCCTCGAAATGATTTCAAATGATAAAATTTTCCTTACAAATTTTATTTCAATGTGTGATTGATGTTCCCTGTAGCTAAATTCGACAATTTGATATTTTATTTGATCATGGAAATCTAAATAACCCTTGAAGGTGAATAAATAATCTTTCACCACACATATTCATGTAGCTAAGAAGACTTGGTATCCATACCACTCTTTTAGGTTTGATTCTCCTTTCGAATTTGAATTTTTTGTATTTCTTAATCACTTTTAAAGCAAAAAATGATTTTAAAATTACTAAGATAGAGAGATTAATTCCCACGTTTAATATTAATTGTAAAACGTTAGTTGTAAAATCTAGTTCCTAATGGTTCATTATATTACATATAATGTAAAATGTTACTTGCTTGTAAAGGATTTGCTTGCAGCGACGATTCGAATGATCTAAAGAGGGTACTGCTTCATGAAGGAGCTGGGTTTTTTTTCTTTGTGGGGAAAAAAGGGGCATGTTTCCAAAACATGTTAACTAAATAAAAGATTTATTTTGAAACTCAGTGTAGAAGGTATATTGTTGGCGAAACATGTGTCAGCTGACACACATATAGTTGTACAAATCATGCACTCCTAAAACGCATGTCAGTGCGGAATATATCCACTTCCGAGCCTGATAAAACTGTTAATATGATTGGAAATTCGTTAAAAGCATTATCAGCGAGCTGTTGAGGCAAGTTTTCCTTAATAGATACCGGAGGAGTAAGGTTCCTTTTTCAGTGCGCAATTGAAAATTTTCTTGTTTGTTAGAGCACCAACTCGCCATCCTAAGACATCAAAAATCTTTTCACTTGAATTAAATACGCGTAAAAGGATGGATACACAAATACTTTTGTTTGGGTTTCTATGTGGTGCCTCAACGATGACATGTCAAGTTGTCGATCATATAAATGAATATATCACCTAAAGAAGTATCTTTGTCTTAATACTTTCATGGACAAAAAAATTAGCTTAGAATAACATTTTTTCAAAATGTTCTCCTTTTGTAAAAAATGCTTCTATTATAATAATATTTTCCCTGTATATAGCTCAGAATTTTGTACAGAGGCTCAACTATGATTTTTGAAAAATTCACATTATTTTCATAGTTACAACCCATTGAAATAATTATCGGCGTTTTTTTCTTAAAATGTCTCCCCTGTGTTGTGTCGTAAAACATAGATAAACCCACTTCTAAGTTATGCATTTCAAAAATTCTAGTTGTGCCTCTGTACAGAGGTCTCAGCTATATACAGGCAAAATATTATTATAATAGCATTTTTCGCAAGAGGAAAATATTTTGAGAATGGGTCATTCTATGTTCATTTTTTGACAAAATATTGTACTTAAATAATTTTTTTACTGTAATACTATTCTTAAAACAATTTTATATACATTTTCTAATCTAAATGACTCTAAATATCATAAATATTACCCATTTATACCCTTTTGCAAAATCAGGGTTCCAAACGTAGTCGGATACCTTAAATGACATTTCTAATGAACTCAAAAAGTTGTAACCCTAGAAGTATAATATTTTTTTCATAATCTTAGGATAATATCTCGAAAATAATATGACTGCAAAACACAATAGCATTGCACACGTAAATTTCAAGTTCCTTCGTAAAAAAGCGGCTGCGCGTTATACGGCGAATATACCTAGAATTAAAAAAAAAAAAACAGCTTGAAAGTATGGGTGCGCGTTATACACCCCAACGTTATGTTCCGGATTTTACGGAACTTTTAAGAGAT